TGCATGGTATTATGATATTCCTTTTCGAACGAGCCAGGTTGATACAGGGTGCGGCAGAGAGGATGGACGGTTTTAAAAAAATCATAAAATAGTTAATTTTTACTCGAAAACAAATTTATTGATGGAATCAGGTTCACAAGGAAATAGCATTTGAGACATCAAGTGTGGAAAATCACATCAGGCATGTGGTGGCCGAAATCGATGATGCAGTGCTGGAGGCGTTCTTGGAAGTTGGCGTAGACTCTCTCCAAAATCGCTCTCTCAACTTGGGCGACTTTCACGCGAATTTCGCCTTCAATTCGTCCAGAGTTCGGGGCTTGTTCGCGTATACTCTAGCCTTGAGGTGTCCCCATAAGAAAAAATCGCATATGGATAAATCTGGGGACTTAGGAGGCCAATGAACATCGCCAATCCTGGAAATAAGGCGACCAGGGAAGAAAGGGCGAATAACGTCCATGGATGCTCGGGCTGTGTGGGCGGTCGCCCCATCCTGCTGGAACCACACACGTCGGATTGGAACACATCGCCGTCGTAATTCAGGGAGAAAGAAGTTGGTGATCATGTCGATGTAGCGCTCTGAGTTTACGGTAACATCACGACCATTACCGTCTTCGAAGAAGTAAGGGCCAATGTTGCAAGTTTGCGATACAGCGCACCAAACCGTTACTTTTGGGCTGTGCAGCGGTCTTTCGTGTAACTGATGCGGATTTTCATTAGCCCAATTCTGCTGGTTAACCATGCTGTTTAGGTGAAAGTGGGCTTCGTCACTCATAAACAAAATGAGATTCTCATTTTGATCGATTAGTGCTTCCATCTCACGTGGAAGTTCATTCGTTGTGCATAATCTCCGGGCTGTAAATGTTGCACAATGTCCAATTTGTAGGGGTGAAAGCCGAGATCCATATGCAAAATTCGCCTTACCGAACGATCACTAAGGCGAAGTGCAGCAGCATGTTTCTGGGTAGATCGAGTCGGACTGTTCGCGGCGCTCCTCTTGGTCTTCTGTTGATCAGTTTACCACGCCTGCGAAGTGATTCAACCCAGCGAAGGATGGTGTTTCGAGAGGGAACAGCTCTATTCCGATGAATGTTGGAGTGGCGACGAAACTCACGCTGTACGACGATGACTGACTCATTCTTTCGGACGAAACAATCATAGGCGAAAACGCGGTGCTCCACCCTCCAATGCTCCATAACGACAACTGGTAAAATGATGCTAAGATCTCACGAGTCAAACGGCACCCTCCCCACCTATCTCGTAGACAGAGGCGGTGTGTACTACCCATCCCAAAAACCCCGGTCCTCTCTGCCGCACCCTAACATACTATTAAGGTTTGATTTTCAAATATTTGAGATATCCGACAATTTATCGCAAAAACGCTCATCTTTGACAACTCGCATTTTCTCAACTGTAACAGCTAGGGAGTTTAACGGCAGAAAAATTTTATAATCCCATACCTTCTCCCTACCTGCTAATAGTATGTTATATTAAAATTCTTCATTTGTAAAACCTATCCAAATATATGTTCTAGTCACCACGTAGTTATGAATCACCCTATAGTGATGAAAATATTTTCCAAATAAGAAGCATACTCTTGTTTACAATGTTTGTAATTCAGTTTTTTAGATACGTTCCGGAGTTATCCACCAAGACCATACTAGAAACTCACCCTGTATATTAGACTTGTATCGTTCCAATAGTACGATCTCATATAAAATGGTATCGCCATTAACCACTGCTGCATATTATTACCATGTCTGTAGCATCTCCTATTTATTATTTAGGACACAATAGAAAACTCAATTATCTATTTCTAATGTCTTCTTGTCTGCTTTGTCTGCACTACATTCAGTAACGCGTAATTCCGCGAAATGGGTACATTTTAAAGGAAAGTGCTAAATAGGGAATTTTATTGTTATGTCGAGTGGTATCTGCCGCGAAATTTACGCTATAGTAATTTTCTCCAAATGCAGACCAATGTACACTCGCGGTTCGATTCGATCTGCTTGGAGTACTTTGTAAACACAGCCGTTAACCAGAGAAAACATTTTGCTCTCGTAGCTCAAAATAATTACTCTGGATAAGTTGAAAGACAGCGACTGAAATTACATTAAATAAAATGATTTCAGACATTGAATAGTTAAGTCGTAAGCAACCTCAACTTACATTTCAAATTTCAAAATGTCTGCCTTTTTCTAATAAATCCGAATGATAGAAATACGCGGCTTCATAATTTTTGGGGGTAATTATTATACTTAATAAATTTACATACAGCCTGTTTGAAAATCCATGAAGAAAGATTTCAAAGTCTTGATATACTGATTGAGAGGTAAAGGCTTAAAAGTCAGAATTTTAGAAATCACTAGCATTTGAGCGCATTTTATTCTTTCTGCGATGCTGTTCAAATCATAGTAAGAGTAGTATAGTGTGTTTATTTCAAACACACCTCCACTGTTGCGAATTATTTAACGGAAAGCATTTACTTTTGCGAGAGGACGCTACTGGAAATAAGCTTTTCGTGAATAACTTTTGAACGACGATCGGTCTAGCCCTAAGGTAATATTGCTGGTATTTTCTACAATCAGTGTAATTTTTAGGAATCTCTTTTCATTTAACTACTTTTCGTTATAGTTCTAGGAGTTATTACTGTATTTTTCAATGCAAAGCATTTTGCTTTATTTTAGTGCATTGTGGCAAATAAATAGTTTGTGTGTGCAGACAAGCTTATTGAAGTGCCATGAAATTGTAGGATGCATTGTATCGAAAAATTCACTAATGAATTTGACAATTTACAATATCAACATTAACTTATACAAGTATAGAAACTATAGTGGAGCAGAAGCTTAAGCTAAGGCTTTCACGGCTATCATCCAATGTTATTTGGTTCGTTTTTGAGTAGTTATGCCATCGTAAAATATTTTCACTTGTCGTTTCGCCAACACGTGTGGTTGACATCTTCAGACGATGTTCACAGTTCGGCCTAACTACTCAAAAACCAACCAAATAACATTAGCTTTAGCTAAACTTCGCCCAAATAAAAATACGTTTATTATTAATATTATTCTCAAGTGAAAATTACTTTCTATATCTTTACTTTACTATATATCTTTTTTAATTTTGTGATAAGGCTTAACTGTTGAGACACCCTCTTAAATATCTTTGAGCCAGTTATTGTGTTGAATTGAATTGTATTGTAAGGACAAAATTACTCAGAGCGTAAAAGCCGAGCATCCGAAAATAAAGGACGTTCGCCAAATATCGAGCGTCTAGCTTAATTATTTTCAATGAATGCTTTTTAAGGTGTACTTTTTACTTATAAGTGTAAATATGTTAGAGTCAGACGTTCCTGTCACTTTAACTTGGCAGAGCCAAACTGAATTTAGTGGAAGCTAGAATCGCTCCCACTTCGTAAAAAGTATAAGCTACGGTGAAAACGAATATTGCAATTATACTAAGTGACATATAACATGAACACCCAGAATTATTTATTGAATTTTGATAAAAACTTGTAAACATATTTGCTATCATAGAAGTATACGCCGATAAAATGTTGAAGGCTTTCCGAGCCGTACTTTTTCTGGCATATCAGAATCCGAACAATATGAAAACGTTTACTTAATATCCAGTGATTTTTCTGTCTTGGTTTCATTTGTTTTATTGTTGTTTCATTGCATTATCATGCCTGGAGTTCGCAGACGCGCTAATTTCGCTCAACACTCCGAGCTTAAGAGGGGTGGGATGATCGGGTAATGTGAAGCCGGATTTTTTTTTGAAGAATCGCTAATCGTGTGAAGCGAAGCGAAGCTACTGTAATGAGATGTTGTCGAGCGTGGTTCCAAGAAGATCAAAATCGACGAGTTAGAGGTACTGGACGTCAAAGATAGACTACAGAGCGACAGGGTAGTTATTTGAGGCAACTAGCACTTAGAGATCGATTTCCATAACAAGGCAATAACCATGAAGACAGTTTATTGTCGACTGTTTTCATACCATCCCCATCTTGTACTATCTCTGGCCCCACAGCATCAATGGCAACGATTGGTATGGAGTAGGGAGGGACTTGAATGGAATATATAATGGAACTCATTCGTGTTCAGCGATGAGTCCATATTCTGTTTGGGCACACATGATTGCCATGCAAGAGTAATGAAGAGACAAGGTGAAAGACCAATATTCGATCGAACGGTACATTCATCGCACTGTGGATGTTATGGTATAGGGTGCCATTGCTTACGGAAGCAGGTCACGACTAGTGTTCATTCGAGGTAGCATTACTGTCCAGCTCTATATCCATATAAGTTTTACAACCATAATTGCTTCCCTTTTTGGAAACACCGCAAGATCCACTTTTTCAGCAAGACAATGCACGACCTCATGTCGCGCGTGTTAGTTTAGACTTTTTAGAAGTAGTTAAGTTTAGTAAACCTGCTTCAGTGGCCCCGTCGATCTCCATACCTTTCTCCCATCAAATATGTATGGGACATGATGAGAACAACGTTGCAAAATTCACCACAAACATTAGAGGCTCTATGAAACCAAATTCAGATGGCATGGGATATAATACAGCAAGAAGACATCGATCACCTAATCCAATCAATGCCGTGACGAATTAACGAAAGTGTAGCGAACAAGGAACACATTATTAACATTAAGTTGGGATGTCTCAGCTAGTTTGCGAAATTTCGAGTTAAAATTTTAATCACTTTCTATTTATCAGTAGACCTAAAACTTGTAAAAGTATGTTCAAAATTACAACACTCCTAGTCGGTGTTGCATTTTCTATGTCATTTAGTATATTGAGTTTAGATTGATGTCAACATTACCCGCTAGATGATAGCATGAAACGCTGCGAGTCACGCAAATAATGGTGGAAGTCGCATACCGCGCAGTCAAACCAAATCCACACTTACGCCATGATGCATTGTGGTTCTCAATGAAGAAACCGCTACTAGCTCCAAGAGTAGATAGCGTCCGGTGATTCTTGTTCCATTTATTTTCAGATTCAGTCCCAGGACGCCTTGATTCACTACCCTCCAGAGCATCATCACCACGGATTGACTTCCTCTACTTTGGGGTTGCGATTCGTGCTGAGCAGTCACCATTTCAGAGGTGGCTCGATGAGAGTCAAATGCGTAGCCTCTATTGCACCTACGCTGTACAGGGGTGACAAGGAGAGTGTGCTGCAGACACACAGTATGCCCATCAAGGATATGAGGGAAGCACTTCTACTAGGTAAGACAGTCGCAGATCACACAACATTTTACCTATATCAGTAAATCTCGAGAAACATCTGTTAAGAATCATCAAGATTATTGTTGCTACGGAAACGTAGGTGAAGCATACTTACAAGGTACAAGTGGCTAAACATATTGTACTGCCGCAAGTATCTTTGAGGACCAAGATTTTCCCGTGGCAACGTAGCACACTTAATGCTGCTAACAACAGACTCTACCATTGACGACAGTTATTTGTTGGTTAAGAAGCCATCCCAAATGTGCCAAATATCTTTATTCGAGTTCAAACTGAGAGTACATAGTGTCCTACTGAAAACTGATCGCCTTCCAGTCTTTTTGTAAGGAAATTTAGAATAAAAGAGGATCTGTAATGAAGTTTTTTGAGTATAATCGAAAATTAATAATTTTTGAGATTCATCAATTTTTGTGATTTTTTAAGAATCGCCCAAAATCGGGTATTTTGGTCCAAAGAAGTAAAAAACTATTATATAAGGAATCACGATAATGCAACTTATTTCCGTAGTGTGTACTTATGTGTTAGATACACCATATTCCGGTGCATCCAACGCACAACTGAACACACATATTTACAGGATTGCCTTTGGTCTCTATATGACATTACTGAAGGATTGAAAATTAGTGATTTTTCAAAATAACTCGAATAACATTGTTTAGAGACGGAAGGCATGGGATTCCTTAAAATGTTAATCGTTCAAAAGATCCAAAAATACCTTTTGTATCACATATTCCCCACCAATGACCAAATACTTGACAAACATATACAAATATAACACGACTCAATTTGGAAATGTATGCAAGAATTACGTTGATGACATAAAGCTGACGTTAGTATATACAACATCTACATTCACCATTTTTGAAATTCTGGGTAGCAAGCACAACCACCCGTTTTTTTAATATTGAAATGTCAAAGCTTGACACATTGTTTCGCTTCGCAGTGCTTCAGGGCGTGGGCTCTAAATTTGATTACGTGTGGTCTTAAATATAATCTTGCATGTATCTCAGGCGAAATAAGCATTTACATATATACCTCTGCGTGTTAAAGATCGCAAACAGTGATGAGCGCACTGTATACATCATGAAAAATACTCTATTGTAAACGCGTATACAATAATTGTATACGTCTTGTTATCCATGTAGACAATGTATACAATAGCAAATCATAGTTTAACATGGACCCTTGACTATAGGCAATGCCTGTTAAAGTGGTTTTTGAATAATTAGAGACGGTATAAATATAGATATTTATTATATATTCATACAAAATTATAGTTTTAAATAACTTAGGGACATTTCTTAAATAAAATAAAATCAAATACTTTTTGGAGACAAAATCTTCTCAGCGATGTGACTGATTTCACTCTCGGCGTCGCGTCGTTAGCACCGTCAACATTCAAATTGGCAAGGCCCTTATCGGTCAACCGTAAGTAATATTTACAATGCACTAGCTTTTTATATCTATCACACATCAATCGGTTTCATATTGGCATATGCATTAATCACCAGCTTGAAAACAGTATTTCTAAATGTGCTAATGAAGTCAGAATTAGCAAGCAACTTGATGGCAAATCAGGCTAATTTAGGGTGACCTATTCCGAAAAGTTCATAAGCGCTTTTCAGTATGCCTTCTGACTTGATTTGTGCGCGTGTTAGGCAAGTAGAAATTGGTAATACAGCGCATCAATAGGGCGACCCCTCTACTGCTCTAAATGGAGTTGGTGCGGAGTGTGGCGCTACTACTACATTGGGCAGTGTCCTGCTGCCAGAAGTATGGGCATGCACAGTTGTATTGCGGTGTCTAAAATGTGCCCAAAACTGCGTGACACATATGTGCCCTCAACCAGGACAAGAGGTGCGCAGATGAGCGAACTGTGGGGGGGACCATCCGGCAAATAGTCCTACTTGTATATTTACTGCTAGGAGAAATCTACAAGTCTAGTACAAAGGCGACCAAAGTCATACGCGGACGCAGCAAGTGATGACACCTCAGCTGTTTCGAGCTCAGGCACCAGATGTCATTGACTTCTCGATATTTAGAAACTGTAGGTACAGTGTCACTTCTCGAATCATGTATGACATTTCGAGCGATCGTCTTCCTATCGTATTGGAAGTGGGTAATGAGCAAACCTTGGGAGGGGAAACTCTTCCAAGGAAACGGGTTGATTGGGAGCTGTACAAGTCGCTCCTTAGCGAGTGTCTCAATATCCTGACCATAGATGATGAGAACGGTATAGATGCTGCTCAAGCGGAGTGGACAAGTTCCGTGCAGCAAGCTCTGCAGCGTGCGGCTGTACTACCGGTACAGGGCAGACCTTTTCTCCCTGCAGACAGTCGTCAGAAAATTGCTGACAAAAGAGCTTCAATTAAGCGAGCGAAGAGGTCTTTTCATCTAGATTACATTTGCAGAGCGACGAATCTTGTTCATGAAGTGAGAAATGCTGTTCTTGAATTTCGTAATGAGCAATGGAGCTACTGGGCTTCCCCTCCTGGCTCCTAAAACTTTGAAATCCTTCCTTAAGGGTAGGAAATTTCGAAACAAAATTAATAACGCTCTGTCGACAGCACGGCCCATCAAAGCCGGTGTCCTCAGGGATCGGTTCTTTTACCAGTCCTGTGTTCACTTTTTATTCATGACGTCCCTGTCCCAGCAACTGTGAAATCTATCTCTGTACGGATAACACTGTCCCAGTGGCCCAGTCGCGTTCTGGAAAATCTAGTTAACGACAGGCTGTAAAGTGCGGTGGAAGAGGTATTGGAGTGGGCGAATCGGTGGCTGATCAAAATTAATCATTCGAAAACGCAGGCTATCTATTGTACTAAAAACGTAGCGGCGCCCCATCAGTGGTCTCAGTGAATGGAGCTCGGGAACCATGGGAAAGTTCTACTAGGTATCTCGGTGGCACTCTTGACAAGGGAATGACCTGGCAGAAGCACACTGAAGCGTTTAAAGCTAAATTCCAAATCTCGTTTCGGCAACTCTACCCTATGCTATGTAGAACCTCAAAATTAAGTTTGATCAACAAAGTTCGGCTATACAAGACCAGCGATCACTTAAACAAGTGCGGCTTCGTATTTTCTCGCCAAGACGTATTTACGTAGCCTGCAGGTTTTGCAGAACAGAACTTTGCGTACAATCACTGACGCCCCATGGTATGTCTCCAATGAGACCCTTCACAGAGACCATAACATCCCTTATCCAAGGGTCTACATCAAACAACCAACGCAGCTGCGTTACATTCATGCGGAATCGCATATCAACCCTTTGTTGCGCGAGTCATTAGACTACACAGTGGAGCAAGTTCGCAAGCACACAAGGCCCTGACTCGCACTGTGAACAAAATTATATCGTGCGTCCGACCGAAATTAAGTTTAGGATCAACTAAAAATTGCCGAATACTAATTAGCAATGCCAAGGCACCCCTCAAATTGACGCACTCCTTTTTTCTTTGCTCACCCTCCTTCCTTCCTTTCTGTCTCTTCTCTTCTGTCTCCCCGAATTTGGTATCTGGGCAACCAGACCAGCCAGACCTACAAGGCAAAGGTCCTACGGACCGCTCTGACAGACAGTGATGAATAGAGATCACCGAGGAATGTCAAACACGTCAAAAAATTCCAAATGAAATCAAATACGATGATGATAAAGCTGATAACACACACAAGATCTTCAATGTTTTCAAAAACCACTTAAAGGATTTCTCGCGTTCTATCCTGATTCCGGGAATATTAACTTCAGGGCGCTTTGTATCGCATCATTTTTCTTAACACCAATAACGCTAGGGGAAATTGAAGATATGATACCAAGACTACATCAAAAGCAGCAGCTGACATTACTTTGGACAGTTTATGAAATCTGTAAAAAGCATCATAAAACGTATCTAATCAATGAATCGTTTAAGGACGATAAATGCCCGGACAAACTAAAGATATCGAAACCCATAGCCATATATAATAATAATAAAGTATCTAGACAAACTTTACTCGTATTTCTTTAGTGATGGTCCTCTAGCTCGAAAAGACAGCCGTCTCGAACTAATGTTCATATGAACACTTAGTCTTCAAATTGATCAAGGATTCGATGGTTAAAGTTTGTCTAAATACTTTATTAACACCCTGTATGTCTCTATTGCATCATTAGCATCATAACATTAAAACGTATCTTGGAAAAGTCTAAATTAAGTATATACGATAAACTGTACAATAATGACTTATGTTTGATAAAGTATTAAATGCTTCAAAAAATTTTGTATTAGTGTACATAGTATATATTCAAGGTTAAGTGTTACCAAAATGTCTGTGTTATTGTATTTAAAAATATTTTATTTTAATAGTGACTTAAATTTATGATGATTTGCTGTATTCCTAATATTGATGTCTAATGCATTATAATATTTGGCGGCGTTATATGAGTAAGAACGCCCTAACATGGCTGTGCGATGTTTTGGTATCGACATAATGTGCTCATATACCTTAAATTTAAATCATGAATGCTTGTTCTAAATGTTAGCTTGTTCCATAAACGTAGTGGTGGATGAGTGGTTATAATAAACTTTATAAATAGTAAAAATAAATATTTGAACAGGTTATTAATTTGATTGGACCACTTACATGATCATATTTTATAAGTGTTACCTGAATTTTAACTTATTTATGTCTTATGGCAACTATCTTTACTTCGTCACGTTCAAAAACCCTATTTCGTAGAGTGTATACTTCATTTCAATATACGAGTAATTACTAAGTTCATTCTTTTTTGCGTAGGAAGCATAGGCATAGGACAAGTCTAATGAATTATCATACTTTTTGGATAGTTCCAAAGATGAATAAAGGGTTATTATTATTATTGTTGCTGTATTTCTGGATGGCCGCTACATGATAAGCTATGTTCAACATTATTTATATCTCAGATCAGTTGTCAAAGTGACATAATGAATGCGGAATATAATTTTGAATATCATTCATTATCTACGCATATACTTT